CTGTGTAGACTCCAGATATAAAGCCACATCTACAAAACGGAGCCATTCCTTTATCTCTGTTGGGTTACCCTCAGTTAATCTCATAAGGCTGAGCAGAATTGGTTAGTAATTTGCTAGGAGACCACCAGGAAATCCCAAGGCTATATGGCAAATTTGAAAGACACCCCAGAAGGCAGCCCAGTGGCATTTTAGTATAAAGTATAAAGTATAATATAATACCTATATACTACACAAGCCAGAAAAAGGGCTGGGAAAATATATCTACAGACCCCTCGCATCCCAGACATAAGCTGTTTCAACTTCTTCCTTCAAGGTTTAAGAGCCTTGGTAGTACAGGGGTTTAAGGCACCCTGTTATTAAGCTGGTTATTAAGACCAGCTGCCTTCAATTACTGCAGGGTTCGAATCTCACCAAGGCTCAAGGTTGACTCAGCCTTCCATCCTTTCTAAGGTAGGTAAATTGAGGACCCAGTTGTGGGGGCAATAAGCTGACTTTGTATAACTATACAAAAGGATGAAGGCTATTGTTGAGCACATTGTAAGCCGCCCTGAGTCTTCGGAGAAGGGCGGCATATAAATCAAATAAAAAAAAAAAAAAGACAATGCTACAAGGCATTGCATGCCAAAACAACTAGACACAAGGAGTCCCCCCCCCATGCCATCACTCTGCTAAACAACTAATTCCCACAACATTGTCAAACTATTTGTATTGGTATTATTTTTCTCATCTTTCCTATTACCTATCTTTATTATTTTTACCATAAGAAAGGCTGAGCGCCAAAGAACTGAGGTCTTTGAACTCTGGTGCTGGAGAAGACTCCTGCAAGTCCCTTGGACTGCAAGGCAATCCAACCAGTCAGTCCTAGAGGAGATCAACCCTGAGTGCTCTTTAAAAGGCCAGATCCTGAAGATGAAATTCAAATATTTTGGCTACCTATTGAGAAGTAAGGACTCTCTGGAGAAGAGCCTAATGCTGGGAAAGACTGAGAGCAAAAGAGAACGAGGTGGCTGGATGGAGCCACTGAAGCAGTTGTCGTGAGCTTAATTGGACTCCAGAGGATGGTAGAGGACAGGAAGGCCTGGAGGAACGTTGTCCATGGAGTCGTGATGGGTCGGACATGACTTCGCAACAAACAACAAATCTCCTTATCTTCTTATGACTCCAACTTTGTTGCTTGTATCTTACGATTTACGTTGTTTTATTTAGTATCCTAGTATAATTTATGTTGATTGCTTATTTCTCATGTCTATAAATTTACCAGGAATGAAGCTTGACTCAAAAACTAACATCCTGGAGATTTAGACACACCTAGCTATAGTTTACTATTTAAGGTAGATACTTTACTTATGTCTGTAAGGTAGATATTTCACTTATGAATAATGCTAAGCCATGCTTAGTACATGGTCAAAGAACGTTGACTAGATCAGTCACTGATCCAGCCCAGTTTTATGCTCCAACAATACCCTCTTATACAGATAGTTTTGACTTATGATTGTTATTGAGCCTGGTGATTATGTTTGTACGTCATGATGTGGTCATAAAGCAGGTCATCATGTGACTGACCTGATTTTACTTTTGTGGCAGCAATGAAGTGAATGGCATGGTCATTTAATGAACCCATTGTTCACCATGAATGACTTTCGCTAGAAACCAGAAGTAAATGCAGAGTTTCAGCAAAAATGTTGTAAATGGTAATCACATGACTACAAGACACTGGAAACGGCTGCAAATGCAGGCCAATTTCGATTTAATTTCATCATGAAGATTTTCCAAGAATTGAAACTTGTTCACAGATATACAAGAGTTGCCCAGAAATAAAAGTCAGCGGGGACTTGCTGTGGGAAATCAAGAGTTCACTGTCACAAGATGTCCCACTTAACAACCTCTAAGTGATTTACTTAACAACCACAGTCCAAACTGACATTGAAGTCAGTGCAGTCATTTGCAAAAATATGACATTTCAGTTAATGACTGTACCATTTAGTGATGGAGTTACCGGTCCCAATTGTGTTCAGTAAGTGAGGACTACCTGTACAGGGAAAAATGATATAAATAGATAATTGCCTGGGGGAGGGGGAACATTTATCTTATGACTGATGATTGAATGAATACTATCCATATAGCATTATTTTTATCACTTTGTGCAGCTTGGTGCCCTCCAAAAATGGAATGGAAGTCCTAGCCAACATGCAGAAATTGAGTCAGTGCTAACTAGCTGCTGGCTTTGTAGTTTCTGGCAGAGAAACCTCTTTCTCATCACCCACTAACATTTTTAAAAACGGTGAACCCAAGGACTCCACCAGCAATCTACCATAGATTTCCCCCTCTGCCAAGTCACATCAGCAATTCAACAGGTTAAGTCCTAGCCAGCCATTTAAAGTTATACATCCAGAAAATATCTCTATTTTCTCAACTATTCTGAGAATTTACAACCCCTTTACTCCAACTAAAGCTCTTTTCGAGGAAGAGGAGGGGGTGGGAGAAACTGGCAAAGTTCCAGATGTTGCTGAGATTCAACATCCTTCATCCTTGACCAGAGCTGAGGTTACTTTGGAGCTGTAGCCCAGCTACATCTGGAGGGTTCATGTGTCTCAATCCTGCTCTATTCAACAGGCCATCCTCAGTTTGACTACAACAGAAGAAAAGAGCGAGCAAGGCAGCTGTGATGACATGTGTTTCCTTTTCCAGAAGGCTAGCCCTGCTTCTGTTTAAGAGGGAAAGTACACAGAACTATATCTTAAACATCCTCTTGTGTCAAGATGGTTTACTCATGCATACGGTATTGATTTCTTGTAAGTTGAAACGAGCACGCAGAACACTTTCAACAAGTCGCCAAGCGGCTGAATCATTAAACCAGCCGAATGATTTAACAGCTCCCTTCCTCCCAAGGATATGTTTTCCCTACCCACCCACTCACTTGCTGCTACGAGAAACCAAAGAGCATAAATTATATATGTGACACATTGCAACACATATTTTCTTCCTTCTTAAAGGGGCCCAGCATTGATTTTTTTAAAATTTAAAAAAACAACCCTCATTTTATCTATCAGAAACTTGCTTATAAGTAATTTAGCAACTAATCACTTACAGTTAAACTGGAGGTGCCAATTAAAGGGCAGAGTGGATGTGAGCTCTTACCATACTGTGGCATTTGATTTTTTTAATTCCATCTCTCTTTTTTACAGCTTTTCACCATGTGCCAGAAGCTCAGCTCAAATGGAAAACTGACATCAGTTGAAGTGGAATGGAGTGCAGAACAAGGACAATTAATTGCACAAACATTATTTGCTTTGCGCCTTCTATAAACTGGCCTGGCCTACCGGCACATCAGAATAATTATTAATGTTTTTATTGTTACATTGAGGTATCAGCCAAGTTTCTACACAAGAGAAATAAATCAGTGCTTCCATAAAGTATACCTCTTAAAAAGCCCTTTCCTTCTCCCAAATAAAACACTGCGTTTTAAAAGATCCATAGAAAACTGCATTAAATAAATGTTTATGAGCATTAGCATGGCAAGCAGCCAAACAGTGAGAAAACTAAGTGGTTTTTTCACCAGCCAATAGAAGGTAAGTAAGGATGTTTCTTGGCCAATTTCCCTGGCAAGACATTCTATAAATGTAGATTTACATTTGCATGTTCTCCATAATTTATTCTGCTTCCAGTGCTTATATTTTTGCATTATTTTGTTCTTGCAATGAAGAATTAGATTAAAAATGGTGCTGCATTAATAGAAATGGATCCAAGCACATTATTCTGCTCAAAAGTAAGAACCACTGAATTCCGTGAACCAATTCTCAAATAACTGTGGATGCAACGCAATGCATATAGAGGGGCTTAGAAACAAGAGTTTCTATTCTACTTTTTAAATTTGATTAGTTTCCCCTCCCCCATAACAAACAGAATTCAGTCTACCAGATTTAAAAAAAATCAAGCAAGAGTAGCAAAACAAAAATAATGAAAGCACCAATGTACAAGAGGAGTAATTAAACTCTCATAACAATTCTCAAAGAACAAAGTCAAAATAATCTACCAGCAAGGCTCTCTTTTCAAACAAAATAAAATACCTTAAACTGGCACTTAAAACACAGTACAGAAGATGCCAGATGACTAAATGTATAGCCATAATAATCAACTTTAATTAGTCAAAAGAGGGACAAATTCATGAATAACAAAGTTAGCAATAGTTTGAAGTTAAAAGCTAATCTTTTAACTTCAAACCAGTGGTAAAATCCAAATTTTTTTACTACCAGTTCCGTGAGCGTGGCTTGGTGGGCATGGCAGGGGAAGGATACTGCAAAATCTCCATTCCCTCCCCACTCCAGGGGTAGGATACTGCAAAATCCCCATTCCCTCCGCACTCCAGGGGAAGGATACTGCAAAATCCCCATTCCCTCCCCACTTTGGGGCCAGCCAGAGGTGGTATTTGCCAGTTCTCCAAATTACTCAAAATTTCCGCTGTCGGTTCTCTGAACTGCTCAAAATTTCTGCTACCAGTTCTCCAGAACCTGTCGGAACCTGCTGGATTTCACCCCTGCTTAAACCATTGCTAACTTTAACTATAGGTTCAGTATATAACTCCATACATGGAGAGCAGCAGGTGAGGCAAAGCTCACATAAATCTTAAATCAAGCCTATCTCTAATCCAGTATGGCTTGTATCAAATTCTTATAAAGATATTTCCAAGCAAGTAAGCCACAAAAAAAGGGACGCGGTGGCTCACTGGCTAAGATGCTGAGCTTGTCGATCAAAAGGTCGGCAGTTCAGCGGTTCGAATCCCTGGTGCTGCATAATGGGGTGAGCTCCTGTGACTTGCCCCAGCTTCTGCCAACCTAGCAGTTCGAAAGCACGTAAAAAATGCAAGTAGAAAAATAGGGACCACCTTTGGTGGGAAGGTAACAGTGTTCCTTGTGCCTTTGGCGTTGAGTCATGCCAGCCACATGACCATGGAGACGGCGCTGGCTCTTTTGCTTTGAAAGGGAGATGAGCACTGCCCCCTAGAGTTAGAAACGAGGGGAACCTTTACCTTTAAACCATAAAAAGATCTTTCACCCCATCTCTGAAATTCAGGGCATGCAGGTAAGAGCCTCTGAAGCAAATAATATCCAGGTAAGAACAAGTAAGAGTTCCTTGTCCTTCAACAGACAACAAGGAAAAATAAGGTACAAATCACCAGTATATTCTTTTTTTAGGTTTTGGGTTTTGCTATATAGGTAGCCCTTGACTTACGGACTTCCTTACAATGGAGCCCAAACTTTCTGTTGCCAAGCGAGACAATTGTCAAGTGAATTATGCCCCATTTTACACTGTTTCTTGCCACAGTTGTTAAGTGAATCACTGCAGTTGTCAAGGCTGTAACACGGTTATTAAGTGAATCTGGCTTTCCCAATGATTTTGTCAGAAGGTTGTAAAAGGTGATCACATGATCCCAGGGACACTGCAACCATCATAAATATAAGTTGCCAAGCATCAGGAATTTTGATCACGTGACCTTGGGGATGCCACAATGGTGATAAGCGTGAAAAAGGGCTTAAGTCCCTTTTTTCTGTGCCATTGTAACTTTGAACAGTCACTAAACAAAGTGTTGTAAGTTGAGGACTACCTGCACTACAGTATAAACCCAGCTCAGCTCTTTTCCTATGGGTTTCTAAGATTCTCCGAAAATATTTAGGAGCAATGCTGAAGGTGCTAAAAGAGGAGACGGATACAAATAATAGCAAACTTTGCACTGCAATTCACTTAAGATATTACAATCACATAGCCATATCATTATTTTTCAAACAAATCCCTCCCCCCCCCCACCAAGGCTGAATCTTAACAAGATTGTACACAAGTCTTGGCAGCAAACCTTCCTTATATAAAAAGAGCACAGATGGCAATTCCCAAAATACCAAATTTTATCTGAATCTTACATAAAATGCTGACACCCTCCGGTGTTCGACTTGACAGGAGAAAAATTCCAGCTATTTAGCCTTGAACACAAAGCAATGATACTAAACCAAGAGAAAGCATAAAATCTTCTCACCCAGCATCTTATAGAGCTTCAGCTGGTATCCTGGTCTTTATAAAATCAGGATTGGCAATGGGGTTTGACCCCAGCACAATTCCCGCCTACCCTTATTATTAGCAGCTTTCTCTCTTTTGACTCCTACGGTATTGTGTAATAATAGCAACAACGGTTTTGGTAGAATTCTTTTCTGGCAAACCTAAAGCAGCTGAGAAGAAAATACACATTTTTCTTCATTTTGGAGTTCTGACTTTGGCAGAAGAGGTTTAAAAAGAATCCTGGTTGTCTTTGTCTGCAAGAGAATGAAAGCATTGGGAAAAGACAGCATTGGCTTTCTATAAGGCAAAAATATAGTGGTATCTTGGTACTCAACTGCTTTGAAACTCATCAAATCTGGTACTCAATGCAGTCTGACATGAACATTTTGAGCCAGTATTCATCGTTTGTTTGGTACTCAACGCACAAGCTAGAACTTGTCGGTGTTGGCTGCCTTATGACTGACTACATTATTCCTTATGGGAAAAAATTGTTTGGTACCTATCATTTTTGATACTCATCATGCCTCCCAGGACCAATTAAGGATGAATACCAAGATACCACTGTACATCTCTATTCAAAATGAACTGATTATCAAGGCCTTCCCCCAAATATGCTGGGTCTGAAACTTCAGAACTCCCAGTTTGCATGATGAATTCTATTAGACATGCTAACTGGGGATGCTAAGCAGAACAGGGCCAATATATCTGGAAGCATCACACTGAGGGAAGTTGTAGTAGAAGACAGAAATCAAGCAGAAAATCCCAAGCAATCTAAGTGCTAACAATCCCACTGAGTTGAGAAGCCTTATAAATTTAATTAATAACCTGCAGCATACCATTTAGACAACGAATTCCAAGTAATGAACTGCTCTTCATAAATACATCTTTTCTCAAGCACGCCATTCTTTTAGTTTTTACTGTACTGGGAAACAGTTTTTCTTCCTAGCTTGCAATTCTAAGGAAAAACATTTTAAAGACTTACTGTGAGTTTGTTTACAAGATGACCAAAACTGACGGCTATCTTCAGAGTTTAAAATTATTATTCTTCATACTCCAAAACGGTGGCATCTCTCCTTCCAACTACTAACAAGAAACTTCTTCCACTGGACTGCCATAACTTGTTTTATATAAAGGTCAACAACGCAGATGAATACATCTCCAGGGTGAGCAGTATTACATGGTGACATGTACTCCTGAACCACAACAAATGCCTTTTTAAGGTAAGTCTAAGAACCCATCCGTTCGGTTTGGAAAAGATTGAGAAAAAAAATTAAATAACTGATGGGCTGACTTAGTATATGAATAATATATGTGACCATTTGCAGAAAAGAAACAGTAGGCCCAAGTTGTAGCCAAATGTTTTAGCATGGTGATTAGGATAAACTTCTGAATTGCAAATGTGGTAGAATTCTAGAATGAATTTCCTATTCATGGCATTGTTATTGGAGAAAATCAACAGAACAGGTTTAAGAAATGTCCAGGTGGAATAGTTTTAAATTATAGGTCATTTTTGTTTCAGGATTGCTCACCAATTAAGTTAATGTGATTAGGATGTATTCTTGTTCCTGCAGGATCACTCAGTCTTGATGATTTCACTGAAATTCCGGTCAACTTTTCATCCAATGATCAACCAATCCTAAAGTTTTAAAGTATTTTAAAGGGAATTTTAAGTGCCAAAAATGAACATGTTTTTGACGGGAAGCAAAACAAATACGAAGAACAACGAAGTAATTCGGTACAACGTGTTGCCTTCTATAACAGCCTTCTGTCTTTTGAAAATGATTTTGTAGGTAGTTGCCTAAGAAACCACAATGTAGCTATTTCCTGGGCGAAATCTTTTCCTCGGTGTGAGTCGATGATGCTTTGTTCAGGATGACACCATGAGTTGGAAGGAGAAAAAACCTGAACCGATCCATTCTTGAAGCTGAAAAGGAAAGAAACGCAATTAAATACAAAGGGAGGGGGGGGAAAATCCCACAGCTACACAAAGATAAAATATATCATATCATCTGGGGTTTGAAGATCTATTTACAGCCCGCTTTGAAAAATAATTTTCACTGATTACCGGAAACTATTTTTCAAATGCTACAATGACCATAGCAGATTTTAAAGTCTAAAATGTAGAACTGACAGAAGACACAGATTTGATGAAGCATTACAGCCAAAGCTACCGATTGTAGAGCAACAGAAAAAGGCCATTCCATTATATTATGTTCTTTTATTATCTTTCTTCAAACCTTGAAATAGTTTCATTATATGCTGCATAATGGCTGGGTTTACATACTGAGCTAAATCATAATCTGATTCAGCATCTCATGTGAACTTAGTCATTGTGATTCAATGGGTCTCAATACCCCAACTCAGTGCAATACAGTTCTAAAAAAAAATGTTTATGATGTAACATGTTGAATGAACAACCAAATCAGATTTAATCAAGAAACTTAGTTAAGGAAGTTTGAGTGAGCTGGAAACATCACTTGCAGAAAGCTAGGCCTTTAAAACCCTCAGCTGCTCCTGGGTAGCAGAATACAATCTATCTCTATGAATCTTAATTGCAGTGGCACAGAAATTTAAAATACTTCAATATTGCCTATTAATAATTGAATCCAAAGCCTGGATAAATGGGGTAGGTTGAGGTAAGACCTGGAGATCTATTTTGTAAAAAAACTTGCCAAGAGATTGTTATGGAAAGGCTCTCAAATGAATCAGACATACTGCCCAATGGTAGAACCTACAGGTCAGAAGGTACAATCTTCGACTCACAACCACAATTGAGCCCAAAATTTCTGTTGCTTAGCGAAACATTAAGTGAACTTTGCCTCACTTTATGACCTTTCTTGCCACAGTTGTTAAGCGAATCATTAAGTTAGTAAGATGGTTATTAAGTGAATCTGGTTTCCCCATTGACTTTGCTTGTAAAAAGGTCGCAAAAAGTGTTCACATGACCCTGGGACACAACAACCGCCGTAAGTATGAGTCAGTTGTCAAGCGTCTGAATTTGGATCACATCATATGGAGATGCTGCAACGGTTGTTAAGAGTGAAAAACGGACATAAGACACTTTGAACAGTCACTAAATGAACTGTTGTAAGTCAAGGAATATCTGTATTGCACAAGAGCAAAGACCTGCAATAAGTAGTCAAATCCTTCTCCTTCGGGAGAAGGGCGGTATAGAAATTTAATAAAATAAAATAATAATAATAAATCATTAATGATGCACTTGGGGAAAATTCACTAGGAATCCCAACCCTAATGCAGCCAAAGAGTCTGCACTGCATGAAGACACATCAGATAGCAACGTGGAATAAACCAGGGTAAACTGGATATATCATCAAATGAGAGATGACTAGGTTGAAAATCAACCAATTATCTCCACTGTGAAGAATTCAGCATTCCTTGGGATAGGACACCAGGAAAATAAATGGAGTGGCATTTATTGCAAGCAAGAAACTCACCCCAAGAAATGGAAAGCTCCTCAATGGTTAGTGGATCACATTATGACCATACAAATCTGGGCCAAAGACCCTCAAAATTCCAGGAGTCCAAGTCTACGCCCCAACAATTAATGCAACGGAGCTTGAAATAAAGGGTTTCAATGCCAGCACTGACGAAACTCTGAAGCAAGTGCCCCCAAAAAGACATTATTTACATACTGGGTGATTGTAATGCGAAGGTTGGCAGGCGAACAAAAGCAGGGATCATTGGAAGCGTTGGACAATGGAAGCAGGCAATTGTTTGGTTCCATTTTGCCATGAAAACCAATTTTGAATCACAAATTCCTGGTTCAAACAGGACAAGTGTCACTTATATACTTGGACCTCAACAAATAAACTGCACCATGATCAGATCGACTGTATCCTACGCAGCCATTGATGGTCCAGTTCTGTTCCTAGCTGTCAAGACATATCCAGGCACTGATTGCAGTTCAGATTATGAATTGTTGGTAAAATCAGATCAGAGTCAAATTATGCAGCATCAAAAAAGGCAACACCCCCAAAGAAGTTTGATATCACCCAAATCCCTTCCACGTTTACAATTGAGATGAAAAATGGGTTTGAACTGCCAGATACTGCTGGGAAGATGACAAGCGTAATGTGGCAACAAGTTCAATCAATTATGGTTAAAACAGCAGTTGAACACATATACAAGAAGCACAAGGAAAAAAATGTTAAGTGGCTCCCAGATGAAACTAAACCAGAATAGTTGAACAAAGAAAAGCAAATGGGAGGAAGAAAGGAGATTGAATGCAGATTCCAACAGAACAGCAAGGAAAAAAAATGAAGTTTAGTAGGACTAGCATAGCAAGCAGCTAGAAGAGGACTGCATGAAGGGCCCACATCAGGAGTCCATTTGTACATGTCAAAAGGATCCAAACACCATTTACTGCTCACAAAAGCATCATCACAAACAAGCAAGGAAAAGAACTGCCTGACCAACAAGATGTCAAGGACAGATGGCGAGAATATAGGGAAGAGCTGTATGCCAGCAATAAAGAGGCCCAGCCTCCTCAGGATGAGGAAAGAGAAGCAGAAAAATAAGCAGTCATCCTTCAGAAAGTTGTATGGACAATGAGGCAACTGATGACAAACAATAAGGGCCAAAATGTTGATACCATCCTCACAGAATTGTCAAAGCCAGAACCACCACAACCATCACAGTCCTGTGCTAGAAAATTTGGGAAATGAACATATGGTTGCAGGATTGGAAATGAACATTCTCTTGCTAAAAACAGCGACTCCAAAGATTGTTCTAATTACCACAAAATTACCCTGATTTCTCATCCTAGGCAACATTCTCCTTAAGATCATCTGGCACCAGCCATCAAAAGTTAAGTAGCAGATGATCAAGCTGGCTTCAGAAGGAGTTATGGCACTCGTGGCCATATTGCAAATCTATGCTGGATCATGGAAAAATCTCAAGAATATCTTTTTAAAAATCTACATCTGCTTTATTGACTACAAGAAAGCCTTCCATTGTGTCGATAATGATAAGTTGTGGAACACTCTAGAAGCCTGAGGTGCCAACACATCTGGTCAACGTGATGCAGTCGCACTGTCACAAATCAGGAAGCCACTGTGCAAACACCATATGGAGACACTGATTGGTTCACGCTAGAGAAATGAGTCTGGTGTGAGGAAGCTGGAACCTGAAGAATTAAAATTTGAAGTAAAGATTAGAGGAAGAACATCAACAATCCTTAATATGTTGATGGCGCAGCTCTTCTCTCAGAAACCTCTGATCAAAAGGATGAAAGAAGAAAGTAAAAAAATTGGTCTGTTCCTGAACAGTCAAAAGAGACCAAGCTCATGACCACTGCAAAGAATAGAAATATTTGAAATAACAATTGACAGTGAAGATATCAAAATGCGTGCAAGAATTTCTTAGGATTGCAGATGGATTGATTGAAGCAGCAAATGCAGTCTAGAAATAAAGTGTTGAACTGGGTCACACAGCAATGATGAATAGCCCCAGCCCCCTCACTACGGGAGCGCAAGACTCCACAATCCCTCAATCACACCAAGAGGAGGGGTATAGGACTGAGGGAAAATCCCCTCAGAAACTAGCTAGGCCAGTCACTGAGGGCCAAAGTTCCTACTGTATGAAATCCATAGCAGAAACGTAGTCCAAATAACAGTCCAGATCAAACCAATGAAATCCAGCAGTAAGAAGAAGGGAAGTAAGGAAAAAAATGGGCTAGAAGTAGTCAGAAATATCCAAAGTAGCCAGAGAACCAGTCCCACATGCCTGTCCAGACTGACGGACTGAGTCAAAAGCTGGATCTGCCCAGTAACAAGGGCGGGACTTAACAGCTATGACAGACTCAGTCCATCAATCTGAACTGGCGGGTACAATCCATGCTGGCTGCTGTCTCCACCCACAATGGAGAATATGGAAAACCAAGGACATCAGCTTGGTAACTAAATTCAGGTTAGTCCACTTTATCATGTTTCCCATAGTTACCTACAGTTGTGAAAATTGGACCATGAAAAAAACTAGACAGGAGGAAAAGCGACTCACTTAAGCTGTGGTGTTGAAGGCTCCTGCACATTCCCTGGGTAGTAAAGGTGATAAACTGGAGCACATAAAAGTAGACATATTGCTGAAAGGCAAAAATCACAAAATTCCATCTTACTTATTTTAGCCATGTCATGAGAACAAACTCATTGGAAAAGGCAGTTATGCTTGGTTATGCTCAGAATGATCGGTAGTAAAAGGAAACATGGTCACCAAAAAACGCGGTGCCTAGACACCATCAAAACCAACGCCAGCCAGAGCATAAAACAATTGAAAGAAGCAGGATAAAATTGGAAAATGTGGAGTTGGTCCACAGAATTGCCAAGATACAACTGAATGGATAGCATCATTATTAATAACTGAAGGAAAGAAGATCATTTCTGGGGATTTAAAAAATAGATGCTCCTTTAAGGATAAAGGTAAAGGTTCCCCTCGCACATATGTGCTAGTCATTCCCGACTCTAGGGGGCGCTGCTCATCTCAGTTTCAAAGCCGAAGAGCCAGCGCTGTCGGAAGACGTCTCCATGGTCATGTGGCCGGCATGACTAAACGCCAAAGGCGCACAGAACGCTGTTACCTTCCCACCAAAGGTAGTCCCTATTTTTCTACTTGCATTTTTTACACGCTTTTGAACTGCTAGGTTGGTAGAACCTGGACAAGTCACGGGAGCTCACCCCATTATGTGGCACTAGGGATTCAAACCGCTGAACTGCCGACATTTTGATCGACAAGCTCAGCATCTTAGCCACTGAGCCACCACGTCCCCTTCCTTTAAGGGTTCCTTAAAGGTTCCTTTAAGTGTCCCCTTCCTTTAAGGGTAGAGTCTGGAAAAACCTACCATAAAAAAGGCAGCCTCAACCTCTGAAAATGGCAAATCATGGACTATTAGGTCCGAGCTGCAAATATTCAAATAATCACTAGGTGGCAACAGTGATACAGAAAAACATAATTGTCATGCTAGGTCAGGAGTTCTTAACCTATTTATGCTATGGACCTCTTAAGAGAATTGTAAAATCTAAGGAACCCCTGTTTAATAAGGAATATATTTAAATGCATAAATAAAATGTATGTGGACTATATTGCAAAGTACATCAATTATCCTCAAATACAGTTATCAAAATACTAAAAAAAATAACACATATAACAGTAAAAATATATTATCCCATTAAATTAATAGCAACACCTTATTTTAGGGTATAATCATTTTAGACTTATGAGATTTATTGAAAGGCATAAGTAACTGTGCTGCCTATATACATTATTGAATGAAATGCCAAATTTCCATCAAAGGTTAGTGAGAACGAAGTTGTCATTTTTTTCCTGCTCAACCTCACAGAAATATAGGTTAAGAACCCATGATCCAGGTGATTATCTGGATTAATGAAGCCCAGGTATAATACTGTAGCCCTAATGTATCAGAACATCACTTCTAAAGATGGATTGAACAGGCTGTCATTTTAAGTAGGTATATTATTAACATTTACTAAACCATATTTCCTAAGGACTATAATATCATCACAACAAAGTTTATGCTGCTTTCACAACCGCAGCAAACTGCACCCTTCTCCAGGTATCTATGAAATAGGCTTAAAAATGCAGAGAGGATGGAAGGCGGCAGAAGGGACAATGCAACTGCACCACACTGTGGTCTCTGCATCCATCTAGCGATAGGTACTTAACACTGCAGCCCTGTTGTATTTAATGGTATTTAAATTACCTTCTAAACCAGCCTTTTAAATCTTTTTTCCCCAGATGACCTCTTGAAATAATTTTCTCTCTCAAGCCTATATCAATAGCTTACAGTACACTGCTATGATCAGTAAAATGTGCATATAATAATCCAATAATTGTCAATGCTCTTTGGAAAAGAGCATTTTTTTTCTGTGGATCCGTTTATTTTGGTCATCTTAGCCAATCCTCTTTGTTTGGGTCTCAGTCACCCAGAGAGAATATTAATGATCTCAGTTCAAAAATAATGTTTATTTTTTTTCCAATTACAACTCTAGAGTCCAGCAAAAATCCAGTTGAGAAAGGCTGATCTAATCTAACAACCCATCATTCTTCAAATGTACTTTTATTTACAACTGTTTAGTTCTATGTGATCCTTACACATACAATCTGATGTGCTCGAGACAACACATATGATCACTCTAATCTAGGAGCTGCTTCCTAATTTACCAAAGGATTCTTCTTGCATTCCACTTGTGTGCAAAAACATGAAAAGAAGCTCAGAATATCTCACCCATCAGACCGTCTAAACAACTTGGGCCTCAAATATAATAAGACACCCCCATGTATGTTCGCTAATAGTGCTCTTCATGTCCTTTCTGAAGGAAGCTGACATTTCAGCAGCTGGTAACATCTGTTTGACATTTTCTTTCCTGGCAGGTTAAATAGGATCATACTAGCTAGCCTCCATGCAAACAACATTCTTGTGAACAAGTAGAAGTCATAACGAAATTAGGTAAGTGGCAAACCGATTTTGAACAGCTGCCAGAAGACAACATGAATTTACGTGGAACTGAGCTGGAAAAGGGACTTTCTGTTATCAACCAAGTCTTGGTATCAGTCTTTATGTCAATGTACAGTAAAGCTCAATGCAAACGTGAATTTACACTGCAACCACATAGCAGGATCTAGAAGACTTAGCTACAAAAACACAAACACAAACTAAGCAGGACTGCACTTGGGGTTAGTACCTGTCAGCTTTTCAAGATACGCCAGAGAGGAAACTAAAACCATAAATACCAACGCTGGTTTTACAGTAACAAAATTTTGCAAGTCTGAAAGTTCTTTCCTTCCCTCTCTTGCCTTTACTTTCTAGAGAATTGGGGTGAGTCCTTCTGAGGCAATTTCTCCACTCTCATGCCTCTTTTGGATTCTGATTTCTCTTATCAGGCCGTTCTCTAGGCTGCAGCTCTTTCTCTTGTCGCCCAAGCCAATTACTGTACAGTGCACGAATGGAAGATCATAAGGAAACCCCAGAGCTGCAGGCTAGACAAGGAACATGGACAAACATCCCAGAATAGAGCAACGACAAGTCACTGCCATCACCAAAGTAACTACTGTATTTAAAAAAACCTTCCCTTTTTACAACCCTGTAATCTCTATTTGGGGGAGAGTCGGGGCGAACTGGATGGAGTGGACAAACTGACTTCTTCGATTAGGGAAAGGACAATATCTAATTATTTATTGGTGGATGCAAAGCTCTGATGGACTTTTTGTGTAAAACTAAAAAAAAAATGAGCTGGTGGTTTATGGTTTTGGCAATTAGAAAGGATAGATTATAAAAAGAAGAGTGTCATGATGCAAGTTTAGAGAGAAAGGATAAAATATAGCTGTACTTATAACTACTGTAAAGAATATCGGAAGCAAATTTCTTTATATCCTTATATCTTTCTTTGTATCGTTCACTTTTTAATTTTCTTATTGCACTTTTAACTTTTTCAGTTATTTCTTTCTTTCGTGTTTTCTGTTTTTATTTAGCTCGTATTAATGCTTATTATTGCTTTTAATTTTCAATTAAAAATTATATTTAAAAAGTCAAATAACAACTGCAACAAGGTATTCATTGATGGGTTACTTAAAAGACAAAACTGTCATACCTTCCAAAAATTAAGGAAGGCTAAGGAAGTAAGAATGAAATTCTAGATCTTAGAAATACCTAAGAATCAAGCTATTTAATGACCGCAATGAGAGGGATCTTAGAAGTTCTTGGACTGTAAAAGATAAAAAAAACCAGAAGTTGATTCAAGTTACAGTGATAAATTGTCACAGAAATACTAAGGGAAATAGGGAGAACAGCGCTGTTAATACATGTCCTTCTACCTTACCTTCTTTTCAATAATATATATAACTTCAGGCAACTCACTAGTTGCAAAGTCTGGATTTGCACACTGCACCAGGCCAGACTTGATTTAACCGTGGTTCATTGGCCACCCCGGTGTGACAGACTAAAGTATAAATCTGGCTGGATCATAATTCAATATTTGGATCTACATAGCACACCTAGACAAAACACATAGCAAACCTCATTTTGGCTCACAAGGAACAATCTTAACACCACTGTTGATCCTAGCGTTGTTTATCGGATCTCTTTCAGGTCAAGAGAGAAAAGGGTAGTTGATGCTCACAACAATGGAACTTTAGACCTTCAACCAAACCTAGAATGTTATAGCCTTCATTTGTTTTAACATTGCTCTAATATTTAATGCGCTGAGTCAGAGTTGACTCAACATTCCAAGGCAGTCACATGAATCTGAGTATTCCACTTATAAATCCAAGATTTATGGAGTGTGACAACCATAAATGGGGAGGAAAGAATGTTGGAAAGACAGGGGAGGGCACAGTAGCCATAGTTTGAATGTAGAACTTTTAACAGCGGTTTCCAGATAGAAAATCAGCAGTGACTCCTATCACAGAAAGGCCGTCACAGGAAATGCTTCTGTCTGCCCAAGCGGAGGAATCTTAACCAAAGCAAACAAAGAGAGAATAAATGCTGTTATATGGTAAAGAATGAACTTTCCCCTGAAAGCTTCAGAGATCTTTGTTCATTTGCTCTTCGTATTTAAAGATGCAAGGGGCATAACCAGAACTGCTTCAGAACCCCTTATCTGGATGCCCTCTTTGGAACCCTTTACTGCCAGAAGTACCTATTAGGTTTTTTACTATGAGATGAGATGAGATGAGATGAGATGAGATGAGATGAGATGAGATGAGATGAGTAGAGCAGAGCAGAGCAGAGAACAGAGCAGAGAACAGAACAGAACAGAACAGAACAGAACAGAACAGAACAGAATCAAATACTTTATTAGGCCAAGTGAGGAATTTTCTCCAGGGCAGAAGCTTGCCATGTACATGTAAAGCCACAGAATGATGATGATCATCATCATCATACCAACAAGTGGGGGTAGTAAAGAAGATAGTAAGGATAATGGTAATACTACAGACATACTACATAGACATTAGACAGCACTGTGAAAATTAGGTGTTCAGTAGAGTGATAGTCCGAGGGGGGTGGGTGGGGGGAACTGTCCATGTGTCTAATTCTTTTGGCCTTCAATGCCCTACAGTGCCATCCCAAAGGGAAGGCGTTGAAACAGTTCATATCCAGGATGTGAGGGGTCTGCAGATGTCTTCTCAGCCCTCCTTCTGACCCACGGTCTTCTATGGAAGGCAGGCTGGTTGCAGTTATTCTTTCTGCAGTCTTAACTATCCATTAATTTATTTATTGAGTCTTTTTGTAAAAAACAAACATACGCTACATTTTTATGTACAGCACTTTTTCAGAAGAATCATGACAGATTAGAACAGGTTCACATAAAGGGACTTGGGGGCAGGCTGAAGGTATATATTCAGCCTGGAGTTTTTTTTAAAAAAAAAAAGATTGAGGGGAGACATAGTATCAATATTCAGGTGTATAAAAAAGTACCACATGGAAGACAGCCAGGAATTATTTTCTTAACAATTAATTTTTATTAAAGAAGTTTTTCCATAAAACAAAAAGAAATTTTAAAAATATTTGTCCCATGCTAACTATGGTTGCTATAAATTGAAGGATTGCTTTTGTCTTTTTAACATCAGGTTTTTGGAAAATGGCCCACTGAATTTAAGACACATTTTGGAACACATAAACGCAATGCTTGAAAATGTTTCCAAATGTAGGCAATTAAGCTATTATCTTTTTAGTGGTATGAATCTATAAAGCAAAAAAAAAAAAAATGAAAACTTCTTGGAAGTGTGAGGCCAGTGCACATCATCACCAAGATACAGAAATTTATTCCAATAGTAAATATTTTATATTTGTTATCTGCTAGTCAGCAGCATCCATAACAATGACAATGTCAAAAATTATATATATGATATTATCAGGGAGGGAAAGCCATTAAGTATTGTAGTTAATTGTCCAGCTATAAATTACTATAAGTGGCTATATAAATATTATAATGTATGACAAAATAAAATTTCATGAATGCCTAATACTCAAGGTTAACGGACTGTGGAGTCCATTGTCCACTCCAGTATAAATATTAGGGAAAAGCTTTGGATCTGTGGTATAATGCATAATTCCTATGTTCTTGTTCAGGGTGGACCCTAAAATGAATAGGGTATTATAAAATAAGAGCATATGTCACACTCAGCTTCTGATCACTTCATTGGTCCATTCTTTTAACTTTCTTGGCAACAATACCAGGCAATTTACCATTGACTTGAAATATCTTCTTCTGATTAAGCAATAGAATTTTCAAACCTGGGTATTTCCTTCCTTCCAAGTACAAACCAGATCCAGGCCTGCATATTTCTTAACCCCAGAGAACAAGGTGCTACAGGAATCCTCGACTTACAACCACAACAGAGCCCTGCATTTCTGTTGCTAAGCAAGGCAGTTATTAAGTGCATTTTGCCTCCTTTCTTGCTACATCACTGCAGTTGTTAAGTTAGCGACACGTTTGTAAAATGAATCTGGCTTCCCCATTGACTTTGCTTGTCAGAAGGTCACAAAATGGTGATCACATGACCCCAGGGCACTGCAATTGTCATATGAATCAGTTGCCCAAGCATCCAAATTTTGATCATGTGACCAAAGGGGATGCTGCAATGGTCATAAGTGTGAAAATGGTCAGAAGTCACTTTTTTCAGCGCCGTTGTAACTTCGAATGGTCACTAAATAAACAGTTGTAAGTTGTGGACTACCTGTACTGCCACTTGCTCCCATGTATTCATGTACTCACTAAATCTGTATTCATGTGCTAAAATCCTAATTTTATCTACACATTCGTAAACCATATGTATTCTCCTTTGAATCAACTCCTACTAACCATGTGGTTTGCAACTGCATTTTTTATGGATGGTTTTTCAATTTCCCAGTCTAGCTTACAGTTTGGGATTTCCAGTGGTCTCCCATCCAACTCCTATCCAGATCTGATTCTGCTGCGCTGCAGAGTCCAGACACAGCCTGCCAAGTGCACCATCTGCTGAGACCAAATGACCAGGCATATTTTTTTAAAAAACAAAATATACCGTACTTACACCTACTTTTATAATTTTCAAATCGGCTTACATGGGAAACTATTTTTAAAACACTAATACGTAAACTGAGAAGCAAAACATGTTATCTTTTCCGCTTGTGACACAGCCTTATCAAAACCATAGCAGTGAGTAGGATTTTTTTTTAAAGATACCATCGGTTTAGAGGAATCATTAAAGTAATTCTGCTCCAAACTGTTACTACGTGAACCTGCCACAAATTCAACACAGAAAAAGCACCTTGAAGAAATATCAACTGGCCAACTGACACTCCTTAAGGGATTGGTCATTAAGGGTGCCAAAGAATAATCTAATCAATGAATAAAGGTAAAGCCAGTCTAGAAATACAAAAAGTTAATATAGAAATATAAAAGACACTCAGTCTTCACAACATTAATTAGAAGGCTTCACTCAGCACCATTAGATACTTTGGACTTTTCAGCAAAGGCTGAATGCAGTACAATGCAATAATAAAGCAACTGTTTAGAGAAACATTTCTTTGTGCAGCATTGTCTGCCTATCTATGTGCAAGGGAGCAGGGACGGAAGGATGAAAAAGATGCATCTTTATTATAAACTCAAGGAAAAAAACAATATTCCTAGCAATACATTTGCTTCTTGGGAAGCCAAGAGGCATCTTTTTACCTGTTACGAACTGCAAAAAGAAAAAAAAGAGTATCAGCAAATTCTCCCTTCCTAAACAAATACACACACATAGCACATGGCAAATTAAACATGCAAAATGACTGCCTCCTAACGGAACAAGTCTAAAAGAACAAGAGCTCTGTTCATCTTTGCATCTGGTCACCCAAGTTGATTTTGGCACCAAAATTGTTATTTGACAATCAAAAGGATGCTCACTGGATTGTTGGCTGGTTGGCTCTTTCCTGCCTTCTGAATTTCAATCAAGTTTCACACTTCCTCTTCTACACAGAGCCAAGGTTTGTTTGAGGAGATTGTGGCTTTGATGTAAGCATGGCGAAGCCCATATAAAATTGATCTGATATACGGAACTGGCTTGGCTATTTATTTTTAAAACACGCATACAGAATTTATTTGAGTGAATCGTGCCCTACCAGTGCACTCACAGGTTTCTGATTCCTTGGGGACTCCACCGAGAACATACCATAGGCCTAAATAGATTGTATAATTGAACAGCTGTGATTAAATGTCAAGCTAACCCATTCTTTAACAGGACATGAAATACTACTGCCTGCTTTAACTTGGTTACTCAATTAAGCAAACTTGATGGGCTTTAAATTCTGAACCAGATCCTCACAGCATTCTAAATTTAAAAAAAAGTCCAAAATTAAGATTAATGAGGCTTAGCTTGTCATGTGAATGCAGTTAAGTGATCTGATTTGGTTAAGCGAACAGGTTAATAGGATGTTAGGCACACGTTCTTTTGAATCTATAATACTATTGTCCCCACCCCCTTAATTTGATTGTTCATGAACAAATCACACATTTATTAAATTGGTTTCACATTTGTGAATACATTTAACTGGCAACTGTATGGGAGGGGGTCACCTCCCACCCAATCTGTGGCATACATTCTGATGAAAACAATTCCTTGCAAACTCCAAGAAAGCATCCGCCCTGGACAGAAAATGCTTTATTCCTAAGGTAAATAACAAAATCAGATATGGTAAATGAATTTTACTGGATCTCAGACATAGGGCACTGGGTTAGCCTCTCCCTTTCACTTCTATAGTCATAATTTTCCTTAAAAGACAGTAGCAATGTATAAATGTAAAGATACATCATTCCGTTTGCAAAAGTTGAATATTGCTGTATTGTAAAACGAGAAGAGACAAATCTATGCCTATTGGCTATGAATATTGTAGACTTCAATAAAATGAAACAGATCGATTATTTTCATTATTAATTATGGTTCTTCTCTCTCTCTCAACCCTTTCTACCTAATAACAGATACTAAGCTATCATTGATCACTAAGCAATGTACCAGTCCATTTTGAACCTCTTGGCTTTTCTGCCCTTTTAGGATTTTTTAAATTAATGGTTTGTATTTCTACAAACCTGTACCATTAGAGCTGTGATAGTCTATAGGAGAAAGAAAAAATCAGGAGTCTGGCAGCAGCTTTTCTAACTAGCACCATTCATTAAAATATGTAAGCTTTTTATTAAAATATACAAACTTTTCTGATTAACAAATTTTTACCACAAAAGGCATAAGCTTCAAGTTGAATTTTAGGTAAAAGCTTATGCCTTTTAATCAAATGTGCTAATCAGAAATGGTGTTACCAGACTCTTCCTAATTCTAAACCTTAAACTTCCTTCTTGAAAAAGGATGGCATAATCCCCCAAAAGGTCATTCAATGCATGAGGAAACAGAGAAAGCTCTAAAGATACCCAAGAGAAACAATCAGAATCAGTAAAATTAGGTTCATATAAACATGTTAATCCAAGTTAAGAAAACACAATTGCTGTGTTCACAAACATGTCTTGCCCAAACAATTATAATGGCTAAATAGGAAGAGATGGTTCACGCAATATGCTGTTGATGGTTTTCACCACACAATCACAAACAAGCATTCTAATCCATTTTACCTTATCAATAGCATGTTGTGCAAACCCACAGAGTACCAAGGAGGAATCTTGCCCAAATCCAGTGAGGCTTCCAAAACGGTTCAGTGGAACATAGCTGGAAACAAGCTGCTAAGGATTCTATGGTATTTGGTTGGATCCACAGATCTTTTTAATCCAACTTGGTTGCAATCCACAAATCTCTTAATAGTTCTCCTTGCACGTCTGATGATTCCGATTTTAGAACTGGACTTTCATTCTTATATTATTCAGCCCAATGGATTAAGATGTCGGTTTCTAAGCAATTTGACACATTAAAGATTGTGGTTTCCTCTGCTGTGGGAGTGCTCACAGCATCTGCGTAAACACCAGAGAAAAATGTACAGAACATTCTATTCCTAATAGGTAAATTCCCCTTCTACTTACATGTCTAAGTTCTCAGTTATCCCATACCGGGCCTCTGTGCTTTGCCCTACTTCCTTAAAGGACAAGCCAGTAACTTCAGCTGTTTTGTTTTTTTTAAGGCAGAACAAGGCTCTTATCACCATCAGCTACGTAACAGGGTGAAATCAACTGCTGAAGACTTTTACCCCTGTGGATGAAAAAAAAAAAATACTTTGTAGGCTTTCTCCACAGGATTGATGGTAAACTCTTTATCTAATACTGTATATCCAGAACAGAACTCACTGGACTTCTAAGGCTATGTGTTATTTATTTACATTTATAAACACACACACATTAAAAATAAGAATGCTATAAAACATCCTGTTGAAAACCAGGCACAAACAACAAATGAAAACAGAGTAAAAAGTATAAAATTGGCACACAGTTTAAATTATGAGAATTCCTCTCACTCCCCTGTAAATAACTGTTTTTGGCATTTTCCTAAAAATCAACGGAGAGAAGCCTAGCCTGATCTCCTTTGCAGGTTCAGCGAATTGCTAATATGCTTAGAAGGAAGGCTCTCAAGAATCCAATGGCTATTGGGGTAAAATGGGAGATAATTTTTACTTTTCAGTAAGCATTACTTTCTTGTCTCTCATTTCCCCCACACACACACTTTTCTCTTCCCCCTCCCAGCTAACTCATTAATGAAAATTTTTGGCACGTAGGGAACAAGGCAGTAGATCAATGCTACTCTAAGATTATCAATAATGACACAGAAAAGCCTCAATTGATGCCTGCAGTTTGAGTATCTGCTTCAGCAGAAAGATGGGAATTTCTGAATCCTCCTGCCATTAGGTTTTCAATCTCTGTGTTTTAATCCAATTTCTGTGGCCTGGTTCATTCATTCTTCCCCAATCTCTGTAGCCTCCAGATATATGGACTTCAGGACCCAGAAATAGTAGTCTGCATTGTTTTAGTGCAATGTGTGAATCCAACTAATAAATCAGTTACTAATCTTACAGAACTTTTCAGATGTGACACTTAAAAAATGTCTTATTTGCTATACAAATGATAGTTGTAATTATCTATACTGTTGTAAAACTGATCAACATGGCTAGTTTTCTCCAATTTACACTGCTGTGGGATCAAGTGATTTACTTTCGTGTATATATAAAAAATTATTTGGATATTAAACCAAACTTTAAAAGAGAAAATTGCTTTGTGTTAGCTTTTAGATGTCATGATTTAGAAGGCACGGGGTTGCTTTGACAGCTTTCTAAACAACCACAGCTGGAGCCTTCATCCTCAGTGTAATTTGCAAATCTTAAACTTTTAACTCTGATGAACTATATTGTGGCAGACATTTGTTAAACAAATACTTTTTGGTGAAGGCTTTCTCAGTATAAATGAAGTTCTCATATTGTTGCAAATTCTGATTACAACATAAAATTCATTACCTTCAAGATGGATTTTAAATATGATTATCCAATCTGGGCTGCAAAAACATGGACAATCATAGGGAAAACTTAACTTTCTGAGCTCAGTGCTCACCTGGATTTTGCAACGAACTTGAAATTCTTCATTTAAAATGAAGCAAAGCAAAACAATTTTGATTTTTTTTTTAACATTCTTAAAACTTGGCAAGCCCTTAGTTCCTCAAAATGAAACCACAGGCATTTGTTATGTAAGTAGATTAATAAATATTTCCATAATTTCACAAACAGCACAATAGTTATTATGGCCCTTTAATATGCAATCATTCACAATCATAAAGGTGCCATTACATACTGTGATACAGATTATAGCAGAAAACCCTAGCTACTTCAAAAGCTGGCAAGTTTTTTTTTGTAATGTATTAAATCGTAATAAAAATATTAACAGCAGTAATTGGGCAGGACAATAAAATAAATGTCTTGATGGACTTGTCATTACCATACATTACCATACTTAGTCAAAAAGGAGCTGGCCATGAACAATTGCAAATATTAGCTTTTAAGTGCCTTTAGAATAGAAAGGAAAAACATAGCACCATTTTGCCAAGAATTTATCCACAATAAATTGCTTCCTAAAACTAACTTTTTATATCACCTTAAAGCTAACAGACTGAATATACCAAGAAAAAAATTCTGCAACAACATCAAAATTGAAGCATTCTTTCTCCCATGGAAAATCAGAGAAGCCTGCTACCTAAATTCCGAAAATATTATTTTTAGGAAAACTACTTATGACATCCTATTTGCATATATTGATAGGTACCTCAATCCTATATATTCCTATCATGGACTTCTGCAAATTTACAAGACTTACAGTACTGATCTAACTTCTGAACAGATGTCTCAATCTCATCTGCCAAACTGCTCTCTTCCAAACTGTTAGCAAAGGTGCAGAAAGACCTTTATTTTCCTTAGGAACAGTCCATCGGTCTGCCTGTCACCAAATATGCACAATTGGGTACTCTTTTTAAAAAAATAAAATAAAAAGGCTTAGTCTGGAGAAAAAAAATTGCACGTATTGAAAATCATTAGACCTCCCCTAGTAGCAAAAGTAACATGCTTTTATATTTTCTGCAATAAGGAGCCTGCTGTAGTTGTGGTGAAGGATATCTGAAAATGAAGGGTTAATTTAAAGAGCTGGACAGCAAAAGTCCAAACACCACAAGATGGCAGCAAAAGGATCTCCTTAAAGCCATTTTGTCATTGGATTTTCACAACAGATCACCCTTCAAGCGATCACCTGCCCATTAACTCCCACTGTTGTCAGTGAGGCACTCTTATTGCACAAGCAAAAGAGTTATGTTCCCTCCAGGTAAACCAAGTTATTGTCACACCTCTCCTGAATTAAGAGCAACTCCCGCCGACTTCCTACTTACACCCACGGTATTTTTCTTTGAAAAACAACGGAAATTATTTGTCACCATCTTCTTCCAGGACATGTTCTGACTTCACATACTAGCCTACAGCCCAGAGGTTTTTGACAGCCTATTCTCCTGATAGTTAATACACTCCTAACCTGCTTAGAATTAAACAAAGTTGGAAGCTCCTGGGCCACCTTGCTGGGTGGCAAATTCTCTCTCCTGATGACCTTCTGGACACATCCATGGTGCTTTCTTACAAACAACACAAACTGCTCTGCTGTCCTGATCCAGGAGGGATTTTTTTTTCCTCTGCCCAACCGTGATCTCCAAGTGATCTTCCATCCCAATGCAACACAAGCCCAACTTTTGCTGAGCTTTTTCCAAGATCTGCCAAAGTCACCTGGCTGTTTCCCACCCACTCACATTATTCCCAACACGTATTCCTATTATTTTTATTATTATTTATACCACCCATCTTCACTCCTACAAGGTGTTTCTGGGCCGCTTATAAAACAAACTCAAGAAGTTGTGAATGCTCCAACACTGGAAGTTTTTTAAGAAGAGGTTGGATAACCATTTGTCTGAAGTGGTTTAGGGTTTCCTGCCTAAGCAGGGGGTTGGACTAGAAGACCTCTAAGGTCCCTTCCAACTCTGTTATTCTATTCTATTCTATTCTATTCTATTCTATTCTATTCTATTCTATTCCCATTCCATTCCATTTTATTCTATTCTATTCAAATTAAAAAATAATACAGCGTCCCAGATTAAAACATTAAAACCAGTACAAAAACTCTACTTAATTAGCTGCCTCTCCTTGACAGGCAGAAGTCGGGCAGGTGCAGCTGCCCTAACCTCACCAGCCAGCCCTGCAGAATATCTCTTTCCCTGTGGAATTGCAGCCTGTCCTAACAAGAATTAAACCGTCAACTGTTCTGACGGGAAAGGGAGAAGGGGGGGGGAGCCTCAGGGAAGCTCTGAACGGCTGCGGCTTATGGGTCCGTGAGTCCAGCCTTTCAAAGAGGAAGAGGCCTGCGAGGGATTTTGAGGAAGGGCTGGTTCCCAGCGGCCTAACTACAAGTCAGGTTGACCTCGGCAACCCGCCGCGGGCCGGTTTTATCCCTTCGAAAAGCCGGAGGTGTTTTGTTTTTGTTTTTTTCGCCTCAGCCGCGGATCAAAAGGCCTGAAGGGAAAGTAATGAGGGGAAAAGGGGGGGAAGGGGGGGAAGAGAGAGAGAGAGAGAACGAGAGCAAGGGAGCCTTCCCGCCAGCCAATCAGAAGCCCGCCTGCAAGGGCGCGCGCGGACGAGTGGGCGGGGGGGAGGAAGAAGCACGAGGCCGAGGGGGGGGAGGGAGAAGGAGCGGGAAGGGGCGCGGTGAGGGCGGCGCGAGGCCCAGCCGCGTGACGAGGGCAGCCGGCGGCACGAGGCCGGACCATAACAAACCCTGGGAAGGGAGGGGGGGGAGAGAGGAAAGGAGGAAGGAAGAGAGGGCGTGGCGAGGCCCCCGGAGAGAAGCGCGCCGGAGGGTGGGGGGGAGCCTAAATCGGGAGAAGGCGATTGGCTCAAACGCGGAGGGAGGGGCGGCGCCGGCAAGCCGCTGTTTTGGCTCGAGCCGCGTTTCTATTGGCTGGGAGGGGAGGGGAGGGGCCTGGGAGTCAGGATCCGGAGCCGGGGGGGGGGGAAATGGAAGAGAGAAGAGGAGGAGGAACCCGGCTGTCAAAACAAACCTCGCGCGGCTCTTCCCGGATTGGCACGCGCGCCCTCCTCGCTCTCCCAGCAGCGTTCCCCGTCGGTCACCCGTGCGAATCCTGCGCGGGGCTTGGCTTAGCCAGGTTTGGAGGAACGGAGACCGCCACTGTGCCCGGAAAACAAGCTGCCTGCACCACCCCCACCACCACCCAAGGACTTGGCTTGCCCAAGCTTAAACCACAAATCCTGGTTTACCAGCACACACACCCCAAGCAAGGACTTGGCTCACCCAAGCTTAAAGCACAAATCCTGGTTTACCAGCACACACACCCCAAGCAAGGACTTGGCTCGCCCCATGCTTATACCACAAATCCTGGTTTACCAGCACACACACCCCAAGCAAGGACTTGGCTCACCCAGGCTAAACCACAAATCCTGGTTCACCAGCACACACACCCCAAGCAAGGACTTGGCTCGCCCAAGCTTAAACCACAAATCCTGGTTTACCAGCACACACACCCCAAGCAAGGACTTGGCTCGCCCAAGCTTAAAACCACAAATCCTGGTTTACCGGCCCCAACGCAGGGTGGGCTCAACAGGCTGAGCTGCCAACTACCAAACCTCCTCCTTCCCTTCCTCCTGGAAAGCAAAACTCTGGCTTGCC